AACAATAGAAAGGATTCGAATTTCTATCAACAGATGCAAGTTACATTTCAACCACAGATGTCTGTCAGCGGGAATTATTCCACCTTCTTTAATTCTGAAATATCCAATTCGTACCCAAGATAGAGAACATTGCGACTGCTGTGATAGAGATACATGGAGACATCTGAGGCTCTTCATTGGAAACGACAACAACAACAGAAAATTGACATGGACCCAGAACAGCAGCTTTACACACCCAAGATAGAGGACATTGCTACTGCTCTGATAGAGATACATGGAGACATCTGAGGCTCTTCATTGGACACGACAACAACAACAGAAAATTGACATGGACCCATGTTATGTTTGTTGAATTAATGACAAAGGCCAGTTAAAAGGTTATACGGTGAATAAGGAAACATAGTTTATTTACTTTTTAAAAAATGCGCGTGGTCTCATGCCACCACTCGAGATAGGCTTACTTCCTCTCTACCTCCGCGCATGCGCGGCGGCTACGTCACGTCCGGGCGCGGCGGCTACGTCACGTCCGGTGACGTCACGACATCACATCTTCCCCCTTTCCTGTAACACTTGGACCGTAGTCGCGAAGCGATGGGAGAACTGTCAGGAGGTGGGGTAGACTCCTCCTGGCTGGCGTGGTCATCCAAATGTAGGGCAGGATGTATTCCCAGTTCATGTCGGATGTCAGGACGGGTGTAGGTCCCGGCACACTTCTGGTACAGTCTCAGTCTGGGGGCATTCCACACTTTACCATCAGATAGCACAAATGTAAATGGTCGCAGTTGTTTGGTTATGGTGAACGGGCCCCTCAACTTGGAACGTCCTTTCATGACGGGATCACCCGCTTGGACTTTTACCTGATCTCCAACTTGTAGTTTAGGACTACAGCATTTACTTTCACTGTCGCTCTTGTCTTCCTGACGGCAAGCTTCCTCAGGTGGTTTTGTTTTAACTTCCTTATCGAACACGTGCACCAAAGTTCTCAAAGTTCTTCCATGGAGCACTGCTGAAGGTGTTTGCTTCGTAGCGGTGTGCGGTGTAGATCTGTATTCTCTCAAGAACAGTTGTATCGTTCTTTTAACCTCTGTATGCTGTAGGTGTGCTGTCAGGACCGTTGACTTTAGAGTTTTATTGAAGTTTTCCACTTCTCCGTTGCAAGCTGGGTGGTAGTTAGCAGTCCGTATATGCTTAATGCCATTGCTCCGCAGGAAGTCTTCAAACTCCTCGGAGATAAAGGGTGTTCCATGTTGGAACATGTTGGTGTTCCATGTGTTCCACGTGGAAATCCCTCTCTAGAGAAAACATCTTCCAAAAAGTTTATTATCACTTTAGAGGTAGTCTTGTTCGTACAGAAGACTTCGGGCCATTTAGATGTGTAGTCAATTAGAGTTATAGCAAACCTGAATCCAATCTCGGAGTCAATGAAGGGTCCAACTATATCCAGGCCAAGTTTAGTCTAGGGATTTGCTGGCCTTTCAACAGGGGTTATGGGGACTCGAATAGACTTTAGTCTCTTGTCGTGGTTCTTACATACCCAGAAATTGGTCACTAAGTCTTCCACGTCTTTATCCATCCCGGGCCACCAATAGCTTTCTCTTAACCTTTGCTTAGTTCTGACCATTCCTTGCTGGGCTTTATGAGCAAAGGATAGCAATTTATTTCGGAGAGATATTGGCACTAGAATTTTTCCTTTTTCATTAAAGATCAGGTCCTCCTGAACTGAAAGATCCTTTCTTAATCTGAAGTATTTATTTAATTGTGAAGATTCATTATTACTCCATGGTTTCATCAGTTGCTCTTTTAAGGCAATAATTTCAGGGCACAGTGAACATTCTCTCAGGAATTCCTCTTCACTGATAGCCAGCATGTCCTGATTGATGGATACAATTAGTTCAACTTCACCATCATAGTCCTCATAGGATGATAGCGATGATCTGGAGAGATAATCAGGTAATACGATATCTCTTCCCTTTTTGTATTCGATGTTGTAATCAAAGTTCATGATCCTTGCAGACCATCTTGCAATTCTCAGTCCTGCTCTATTGTTGCCTTTAGTTGTAAGCAATGTCGTTAGAGAGGATTGGTCCGTTCTCAAAGTGAACTTCAGACCCCAGACCCATCTTCTAAACTTTTCACAAGCCCACACACAAGCGAGGGCTTCTTTTTCAACGATTGAGTATTTCCTCTCAGCATCAGAAAGTGTTCTTGAGGCACACGCCACAATGCGCTCCTCTCCCTTTTCTGACAACTGTGAGACTACGCATCCTATGCCACTATGAGATGCATCAGTTGTAATGACCGTAGGCAATTTTGGACAAAATAGGGCAAGTACTTGTCCCTTTTTAAGAGAGTCCTTTACCGTTTGCAAAGCTTTTGCATGTTCTCCTCTCCACTTAAACGGAACAATTTTCTTAAGCAACTTTTGTAGAGGTTCCATAATTGTACTTTTGTTAGGGATGTATTTCTGGAACCAGTTTATCATTCCGATTAAGGATCTAAGACCTGACTTATCTTTGGGAGGAGGGGCATCTAAGAGAGGTTTCATCAACTCCTCATCCAGATGAACTCCATTATCATCAATTATGTTCCCTAAAAATTTTAAGGACTTCTGCCTGTAAATTGACTTTGCGTCATTTAGCATAAGGTTGACTTCTCTAAGTCTAGACAGAACTTGATTTAACTTTTTATCATGGTCTTCCATACTGCTACCCCCAATTATTATATAATCGAGGTAACATCTTACACCTTTAATGTCCATCAGAAGTTCACTTAAATATCTTTGAAAAGCACCTGGTGCTGAGCTCAGGCCATAGGGCAACCTTTTAAACTGGTAAATCCCCATATGAGTAATAAAAGCAGTGAGGTGCCTGCTATCAGGGTGAAGTCTTATCTGGTGGTATGCCTGGGATAGATCCAAATTAGTAAAAACTTTACAACCGTGCAAGGATGATAGTATGTCTTCAATTAGTGGAATTGGGTAGGCATCCAATATCACAGCCTTGTTCGGTTCTCTTAGGTCAACGCAAAGCCTTATTGAGCCATCTTTCTTTTTGGAGACCACAATGGGTGAAATCCATTTAGATGTAACAATGGGTTCAATGATGTCCATTTTCACCAGGCGTTGAATTTCCTTGTGTACTTCATCTAAAAGGACTGGTGGCAGTCTCCTTAGTTTTTGTTGTACCGGCGGTACACTCGTATCAACAAAGATTTTGTACTCAATATCCTTTGCGAAGGGTAAAGTTTCAAGAATCTTGCTACTTTCAGTGATTTGGTTGACTTTTCCATCCTTTATGGAAAGCCCGAGTTTATTAAATAACTCCAATCCCAAAATAGGTGAGTCAGCTCTAACAACATGTAAGAGCGTATGTACAACAGTGTTACCATGCTTAATTTTAGCGGGAAGGTCACCAAGTACGTCAATAGCTTGCTGCGTATAGCTTTTTAGTGCTACCGAAGCTGGGTTTAATTTAATGTTTTCAAAGTATTTGGTGTACAAACTCTCTAGAATCAATGACACTGAGGATCCTGTGTCAACTAGGAACTTTATAAGAACATTACTTGTTCCACCATTAACATTCAAGTCCATTTCAAGCTTTGAAGGCTGATGAATTGGTTGGTTACATTGTGCCATTGTAATGTTCTTAACTGAAAACTTAGATAAACAATACTTTTTAAAATGCCCTACCTTCAGGCACTGGTGACACTTTACATCCTTAGCAGGACAATCAGGACTTGTAGCTTTATGATTACCTCCACAGCGCAGACACTTGAAGTTTGTCGAGATCTTTTTGCGCTCCCGAAGATTAGGCTCAGTGCGGCTATCATTAGCAGCGATCTTATTTATCCCTTCGGGCGTATTATCGAACATCTTGTTGTCCTCCTGGGCCTTCTCGTACTGAGTAGCAAGTTGCACCACTTGATCCAGGTTTAAGTCCGTAGTCTCCACTAGAAGCCGATCCCGTAGTTGCTTGATTTTGGTTCCGACAATGAACCGATCCCGAATCAATTCGTCTTCCATAGAACCATAGGGACAGTCTTTAGCCAGCGCGCGTAGTGCCGATATGTAGTCAGCGATTGTCTCGCCTTGTAATTGCCTTCGATCATTAAACTTCATCCTGATTACCCAGGGGCGAGATTTAACAACATATCTCTGCCTTAGAAGATCAATAGCTTCACTTAAGGAAGTGACAGTACTGGCCTTGGGCAACGTGTAATATTGCCGTTGTGCTTCAGCTCCAACACTGTTCAAGAAGATAGCAATTTTTCTGTTTTCTTCCACATTTTGTTTATCCTCAGCAATCATGTAGTTGTTGAAATAACGAACATATTCGTCAAAGTCCATGCTTTGGATGCCATCTTGTAGGAACGGGATGAGTTTACCGGCAGCCATCTTGAATTATTTGTTTACTTCCAAAAAAAAAAATCAATTGAAAAAAAAATTGATCACTTTACCTTGAATCCTCGTCGCCACTTTGTTATGTTTGTTGAATTAATGACAAAGGCCAGTTAAAAGGTTATACGGTGAATAAGGAAACATAGTTTATTTACAATACTTAAAATTATACCGCATAAGTTTCTTTTCTATGAAAAATCAATATTTATTTTAAAGAGAAATATTTACTATTTCTAACTTTTTTTTTGAATGAAGTATGAGAGGGTGAAAATATGAAGAGTAATGGCGAACGGGAAAAATAAAAGTGTCCAGGGGCGGGAATCGAACCCACAACCTTCTGCTTACCGGGCAGGTGCCATGTCCACTAGGCTGCCCTGGACGTTATTTCTCCGTTCGTAAATAATACTTAAAGTAACTTATAATACATTATAAAGGACTGCGGCGTGTGATCATAAACAATACTTAAAATTATACCGCATAAGTTTCTTTTCTATGAAAAATCAATATTTATTTCAAAGAGAAATATTTACTATTTCTAACTTTTTTGAATGAAGTATGAAAGGGTGAAATATGAAGAGTAATGGCGAACGGGAAAAATAAAAGTGTCCAGGGGCGGGAACCCCTGCTAGTGGACATGGCACCTGCCCGGTAAGCAGAAGGTTGTGGGTTCGATTCCCGCCCCTGGACACTTTTATTTTCCCGTTCGCCATTACTCTTCATATTTTCACCCTCTCATACTTCATTCAAAAAAAAAAAAAAGTTAGAAATAGTAAATATTTCTCTTTGAAATAAATATTGATTTTTCATAGAAAATAAACTTATGCGGTATAATTTTAAGTATTGTTTATAATCACACGCCGCAGTCCTTTATAATATAGTTTATTTACTTTTTAAAAAATGCGCGTAGTCTCATGCCACCACTCGAGATAGGCTTACTTCCTCTCTACCTCCGCGCATGCGCGGCAGCTACGTCACGTCCGGGCGCGGCGGCTACGTCACTTCGGTGACGTCACGACATCACAACCCAGAACAGCAGCTTTACACACCCAAGATAGAGGACATTGCTACTGCTGTGACAGAGATGTATGGAGACATCTGAGGCTCTTCATTGGACATGACAACAACAACAGGAAATTGACATGGACCCAGAACAGCAGCTTTACACACCCAAGATAGAGGACATTGCTACTGCTGTGATAGAGATACATGGAGACATCTGAGGCTCTTCATTGGAAACGACAACAACAACAGAAAATTGACATGGACCCAGAACAGCAGCTTTACACACCCAAGATAGAGGACATTGCTACTGCTGTGATAGAGATGTATGGAGACATCTGAGGCTCTTCATTGGACATGACAACAACAACAGGAAATTGACATGGACCCAGAACAGCAGCTTTACACACCCAAGATAGAGGACATTGCGACTGCTGTGATAGAGATGTATGGAGACATCTGAGTCTCTTCATTGGACACAACAACAACAACAGAAAATTGACATGGACCTAGAGCAGCAGTTTCACACACCCAAGATAGAGAACATTGCTACTGTTGCGATAGAGATGTATGGAGACATCTGAGGCTCTTCATTGGACACGACAACAACAACAGAAAATTGACATGGACCCAGAACAGCAGCTTTACACACCCAAGATAAAGGACATTGGGAATACTGTGATAGAGATGCATGGATACATCTAAGGGTCTTCATTGGACACGACAACAACAACATAAAATTGACATGGACCCAGAGCAGCAGCTTTACACACCCAAGATAGAGGACATAGCGACTGCTGTGATAGAAATGTATGGAGTCATCTGAGGCTCTTTATTGAACACGACAACAATAACATAAAATTGACATGGACCCATAGCAGCAGCTTCACACACCCAAGATAGAGGACATTGCGACTGCTGTGATAGAGATACATGGAGACATCTGTTCATTGGAC